ATCCCCTCTCACCAGCCAAAGCAAACTCGCAAACATCCTCTTCACCCGCGAACTCGCCCGCCGCCACCCCTCCATAACAACCCTCGCAATCCACCCAGGCGTCGTCGACACAGGCCTAGTAACAAACCAAAGCCGCCTCAACCGCCTCTTCGTCTACCTCCCGCAAACGATCATGGGGTCCTCCGTCCTGACGCCGGAGCAGGGCTGCTGGAACCAGGTCTGGGCCGCGGCGGCGGCCAAGAAGACGGATCTCGTGAATGGCGGGTTTTATATGCCCGTGGGACACTTGGCGGATGATAAGCTGGATAAGGTGGCGACGGATGGGGAGTTGGCTGGACGGCTTTGGCGGTGGACGGAGGATGTTTTGGATCGGGTTGAGTGAGTATGTGTCGGGGTTGTATGGCATTCTCTACTCACTCTTGAGTTGTACTAAATGTCGATTTTATTTTTTCATTGAATAACATGTTTAAAATTTACATGGAATTGAACATGACGAAAGCAACTGCTACAATGAACTCAACGCCCAGACCGTGTAAACAGACGGTCAGATCTTTGCTGGTAATTCAAACCGTTCATCAGAGATCGGAATACATTTCGGGTCCATGGTCTGGCGGCCCGGCGTCTCAAAATCCCGGCTCCGGAGCCGGGGGTCCGGCCGGCGCTGGCCTCATATCAATCGCCGGGCCGGGCAGAAGTATGTCTCGCTTCCGCAACTGGCACCAAGAGCGTTACACCGGACGTCGAGACAAGATAGCACAATACCACTTTGCCATCGATCGAACCCTGGATGTCCCACCTGGCGTGAGCCCTCGCCCGCCCATCCAATGTCACCTCACACCACCGCGTCGCCGACGCGCGACCCCATCGTCGCTTCCAATCATTGGCATTTCCCCTCTACAAGAGTCCCAACAGATCATACCACACCCATCGGATGTTCAGTGGACTACATACCAAACTCTAGATAGGTTTAGACGTAGCACGCCGGCCAGCCGGTGAGTGTTTGCCATCGCCTGCGGCTAACTACGTTCCCTTGGACTCGATCGACTCACGGACGAACTATCCCCAAGATGGGCTTATCAGCCGTAACTATGGCCGCTCATACCATCTCTTAACTTGGTCTCGACTTCTCAACGTCACCTCAAGAGGCATGGCATGCAATGCACGCCCCCTCCCAAATTCCCAATCTCTCATGTTCCGCCGTTCGACAGGGTCGGCCTGTGTGAGTTGTAATACCTACATACGGATACTCTGTGTACTGGTAATGGCATTCGTACTAGCGGCTCCAGCGGACGGAGGCTTACCCCGCCAAACGCCAATTCCACCGCCGACAGACGCGGACCGCGCCTTGAACCGCGTCGACTTGACACATTCGGGGAAATTTGTAAACAAAAAATAACATGAGCCTAACAAGTGGCATCAAACTTTGTGACCGTCATGTCCGGGCCCGCTGTTGAGCGATATTTTGCGCGAGAAAAGTCGGAAACCTTGCAGATAGGAGTCAAATGAACTTGACCGCAGTGCACTCGCTCGTGCAGCACAATCTTCGAAATTGTAAGCCATGCTATCCCAGGCGCACTCTCCTTTGGCAAGACTCTCTCAAGCCGGACTCAGAAGCGGTGTTACAAGCAGCGCAGAGAACAAGAATGGCGATCCAAGACAGGGCCGCAGTAATGCAACCACTTTCGGCCGGTAGTAACCTGTAGCACGTCCCCCGCGACCAGGTAGATCAAATTCCAGACCAAACCCGCCGTCTCGGGTTGCATTCCTCAAGCAGGGGTGCATAACAAGCATGGGGAGACTGGACTGGGCGACTCGATGGGCGGCACGTGGAGTGTGGGAGTCTTGCGGCCATCGGAGTGACGGAGCGGGAATCATCGCATGGCTTCTGCCATGGTAGAAACCAATCTTCCCAGCTGCTTCCCAGTGATGGAGGGTCCAGACTCTCGTAAGGAAAAAATTCTCTTGCAACCTTGACTCCATTGTTGCCATGCTTTTGTGTGCGGGCAGCCCTTTGGTTCAGCCCTGACATCTGGCTTTCGATGACCGTCCGATGGGGAGCTCAGGGTGACGGCCAAACTGGAGGGAGAGGTGCAAATCGCGGAGATTGGGGCGGCCCAGCGTGGTGCGGAAGCGAGATAACGTCGGCTTCTTAGCGCCGGCAAGGGGGAAATGGACGTGGGCGTATTCCGTACGGATGCGTAATGTTAGAAACGCTGTGCGGCTGCAGAGGTGATCCATCACTGAGCCATCCCAAACCACTTGCCTCTCGTGGTAACACGAATCGTGACTCTCGCCCCGGGGACTGCACAAGTCTTCGGCCACACGACTGGTCCAGGCTGTGGGGAGTCTTTCATCTTAGACCGTTTTACACATATTGACTGACGTAGCTTTCCTCCTTCGCAACGACCATGGTCAACTCTCAGTATCGACGAACGCATCCTGGAGTTTGGATCGTGGCGATGAAGTAGCTAGCATTCAAGGGACCTTCGACCCCGATAGTTTCGATCTGTCGGCGTATTCGCCAGTCTGGCTGGCCTCCTCTATATCCACACGGTGATGAGCGGGAGGCCATGTGCTGGATCATGGATGGGTGATAAATGTCCGTTCGCCCTGGATTGTGCCAGGATGGAGGCCGTCAAATTCTTGAACTTCGGGTCCGATCACGCCGCCGCGTGAGCCGTGTCCTTTCAACAAGATCGTGGGTCATCATTTTACAACCGCATCCCTCGGGATTTTCTGTGCCGTCATCAGTCGATGCCACGTTGGCCCCCGTTGCTCGTCCGTAGGTGCTCCGTTTGGTCGTCAATCTCTTGAATATCCCTCGTCTTCCCCAGCGATCAGCTCCGGGTCAGCCTTGCCAACAACATGCCGTTGAGTGGACCTGGAGACACGTTCTAGCGCGAACAATGGAGAGGAAAAAACATAAGTACTCCGTAAGAAAAAAGCTTTGGACCGTCAAAAACCAATCGTAAATCTTAAAGACTGAGAACGGCCCGGCTGGTCGAGCGTCATTATCAGACGAACTGGCGCACGGCACATCTTTGATGACTCCATTCTTTCTTCAGTCAATCAAGATGCGACAACCTCAATCTGCGGCTGCACCGGGCCATATCGAACCCAGGCCGCCAGCGTTCATGCCGTGCTGCAGGACCGGGAAAGTCCTTGGAGCAGGCGGGGAAACTGAATCTGTGTTTCTTGTAGCGGGAATTTCCCCTTGGCCGTCAAGGCTTTCAGTGCTCCGTCAGCAGAAATCTCGCACCCACATGCCCATCAAACGTTGATTACATTCGATTCGTGCTCAATCTCGATGGTCCAGGTCATCTCAACTTGGCTGACGTGTGTTGGTCTAGCAGGGCTCGGCCAAGCATGCTGCACCGCCGCCGACAAAGCGACCTGCGCAAGGCGCTGCCGCAGAAGCAGCGCCTCTGGATCTGATGAATCGTTTCTGAAGGATCAATCTCGCTGAGTGCTGCCAAGAAAGTGTGTATTTGTTTCTTCAATCTCAAAGAGTTGGACCCGTTGGTAATCTAGGGCTGCGATCCCACTCGTTGGGCCAGTAGCTTTCCCGACCGAACAGCCGACAACCACTCGGCTGGGATTCAGGGTGGACTCGCTTAAGAAATTGCACCTTTACAGAGTCTGAGTCTGCCCATCTTCATATCGCAAAGTATTCCTAGCCGTTGGGCTGAACCGTTTCTGTACGAATAAGCAGTTATCGACTCGCCGACAGCAACGGCAGCTCCGGCGTTCCAACTTCCATACAAGTGTGAAGCATCGCCTTGGCCGGGATCTGCCATGAATGAGATCTGATGACAACATCTGGTTCTCCGTACGGGCACAAGGACGCGCTAGGGCATAGCAGTGCAGAAGTTTCCGACACTGTACGTCTTGCAGTGCAAGATAGTTTCTTTTCCAGCATCAGAATAATCATGCTGTATGAAGCTGACGCCGATCCGATTCGAGAATGGGTGAGGCTTCCGGCGTCTTCACAAGCTGCTCGCAGGCTTGATATTCGTGCCGCGCTTCGTCCACAGCAGCACGAAGAATGACCGGCACTTTTCTTCAAGCTTCGCAAGAACGAACTGGCAACCGACGAAGCCAGCTGAGCTCACTGTCCAGATGGCAAGATTTAACCCAACCAGCAAAGGCAAGGAGCTACGATCGCCGCTGCAAAGGTAAAAGTGCCAGGCACGGCTTGCTGATTGGCCGCGGAAGCTGGCGGCCAGGTCCGCAGGGATGGTCCAAGAGAGAAAGTGTCGGGAGCCCCTCTTCAAAATTTCGAAAGGGGGTGGGGGAAAAAAGATTGTCGCTGTCTGCCTCTGACGGCGTCCGTTTGCTTGGCTAGCGGGGAGTTTGAAAAGTTGACGGCTGAAGGCCAAGGGATCGCTGTCCGTCTAACAGCAAGAAGCGAGACACACCCCCGTGAGCGAAATTGTGTGCTTTGCATGAATCGTGAAGTCGTTGTGTTTCCAAGTCAGACACTGCGGAGTACTGCACTGAGTAGATGCTATGAGGTGAATTCGAGCCAATTCTAACGTATTCGTGGGCGAAGATGTTCATCCAGTGGGACCAAGAGGCTTCGAGGTGTCTTCGTTGGCTAGCATTGAATGCGCACTGAATGCCAATGAATCGAGATGACTAGTGTTGTCCAGTGGGAGAATTCTTGTTTGTTTCCTGATCATGCGTAAAGGTCGTCTCGCCTTGGGGAAAAGAAGCATGCGCAGCTCGGAATGTCTTTCTCTCCAATGATGACCATACGAAGCATTCGTAGGGCAGTTATGGGCTGTAGCTAGTAGGGCCGGAACCTCTATTGCAATCGACAGCCGTTTGTTCCGCAAGACCACTCAGTTGCCGTGCCGTGGCGGGCTCAATAAGCCGGGATGTCGGCCGTAGTTCGAGCCAGAACAAAACCGGACCAGGCACGCATTGCCACCTCCTTTCTACCGCACAACAGACCAGGTCCACGGGGATGCAGTTGGTAGTCTCGTTGATGTGTCGAATCAACCTCCTTTCAGCCCCGAGACATGAATAGGTTGAAACAGAGCTCGATTCGAAACTAAACGGCCCAAAGCCAGCAAGGACGGGGAAGCCTGGTGATAGGCAACCCGCTCAAATTGCAGCCGAGCTGAAGGTTTGCCCAGGACGTCTCGAGAGCTGAAGAGAGAGAGGGCTGGAATGCAAGAAGCGCTGCATTGGATTACAGCCGAAACGCGAATCTGACGGAAACGCGGGGGGTTGCATGGCGGCACGGGTGATGTGCAAAGTGGGCGCGGGCCAAAGCTGCCCTGGTAAAGCGTCTCGGCCACTTGGCCCAGGCTGTCGTTCGAGGAGACCAGGGTGCCACAATGGACATTAGTGATTGTCATGGCCTTCGCCAGTCTCGTAGACGACGACAAATAGTTGCTGCGCGTGAGCCTAAGCAAAACAGAAGCTGATGTTTGTGTAACTGCTCGTATCTTTTCATCTGCTGACATCGCTCGGTAGTGCCTAGGTGAGCAGACATCGAGATCGTGCGGCTGGTAGATTGAAAAGTTAAGAGTCAAAAATAGGGGTTGGTCGAGGGAACACCAGCTGACCGAATCTTGAGCGGATCTTGAGTGGCGGCGCCGAGGGCACAGCATCTACAAACACAGCACGCGAGATGCAGACTGACGACAATGGCGCAGATACCACCGCAGTTCCTGTATCTCATTGAATCTTGCGCCGATCAGCAAACACCAATTTGGCTTGGCCAGACACCAGGTATGAGTGCAAGGCTCTTGAAACAAACTGCAGGATGAGGGCAGCAGAGTATCTACCTGAACTTCTGCTGTGGTTCCTGGTACTGGTCTCATTGTGTTTGGTGCAATGACACCATAGCGGCCCTGGGACGATTTGAGGCTGAACCAATAGACCACGATAGACGGTTGACGAAATTGTGAGGGCCGCATCCGCCCCGTTATTTAGTTGAGAGTTGAGACACCAGAAAAGGGGTCCAACAGAAGACAAGAGTCGCGCATAAGATTAAGTCCTTGGCTATGTTTCTCAGGCGCTGTGCAACCACATTGTAGTTGTGAGTTTGGAGTCGATACGTTTGATCCGAAAGTCAAGTTGTGAAATGCGGTTGGGCATCGCCTTGCCCTGCGTACACTATGATTGCCGCTCTTGAAGCTGCAAAGCTAAGAACTGCCTGGGTTTGGCGAGCCTGGGTAGTGGCTTTCCACATGCTCTTGGATCCAAGACTGCATTGACTGGCTCTAGAGCCGGACATTATGAGCAGTGGACAAGAGCTTGCAACGGTTGGCGCTATAATATGGTTGGGTGGTGAGACATTTGGAAGAGTTGTGGCCTGTTAGTGCGCCCCTGGTCTCTTGATAATTTGGTCGACACGCCCCTCGTAGATGGTTGAGAAGTCTGTCATTTGTCAGTTCATTTACCCAAAGGCCTGGCTGATACGGATCTGACGCTTGCCCGGCTGGCCAGTGGTTTCTAGTGATCAGCGCGGAAGCATCAATGCAGGCAGCTCTAAGCATGTGCGCGCGTTGACTGGCAAGAAGCCTTGGGGCAGGTCGGACCAATTGCTTCTTTTTAAGGTTAAAGACCCTCGACCAGCACGGCGCATCCGTAGGTGGCTACGGAGCATACAGTAAAGCATCTGTCTTGGAACTGCTGAACCGTGTGCTTGCTGGTCTATGTTCAACGGTGACTGCTGGAGCTGCCGACGTGACCTGGAAGCTTGAGTACAGCCCGGCGCCAACAAGTAGAGTGATGGAGCGGCAGGGCGTACCTAGCCATGTATTTAAGTGCGGGACGCAGCTGACTCCCGTTTCTGCTAGAGCCACCCCTTGCCTGCGTCCAGCTCGGCGTTTGGAAGAGATGATGGCGATTAAAAACGAGTAGGCAACTCCTTGAACAACTTCGAACGGAACCAAATCGAGAGCAAGAGAGACAGTGACAGAGCCAGAGGGCCAAGAAGTACGCGGTGGATAAACAGAGGTTGTGGCAAGTGGCAACGACTTGCGAATGTGATAGGTATGCGAACTTGGTGAGGCGAAACGACGGGAAGCATGCGGGGGCCAGGCGATGGAGGGCACGAGAGCGGGCCGGGACTCTTTGAGCGGTGGGCGGATGACTTTGGGAGGAATCTAGGCGGCTTAATTGTCGATGTTTACGATGACTTTGACTCTCTTGGTCATGCGTTTCGTCCGTTTGTTGTCTTGGGCTATAAGAGGAACGGATGGGCATCGGCAAGAACAGACTTTGGTGACAAGCGCGCAGGTGAAAACGGCAACGGCTCGGAAGGGGTCTTGGCTGCGTTGCTGATCAAAGCTTGCGGGCGATGCGAGAGATGTTTCGCTGACTGGCAGCGTATGGTTCGATGGAAGCGCAAGCTCATGCCGTAGTAAGCCAGGGTGGTAGACTTTTGGTGATTGAGATGATGCGATTTGATGGGGTAGGTACGCGAGACTGTCGAGCTGTAACGGCTTTGTGCAAAGACAGCCATAGCCGTGCCTTTTGAGGTTGACAAGACTTTTGAGAATGGGCAAATGCTTCCTCTTCCTCCTAGTTGCTAGAAGGGCGGAATCAAGGCGGCTATGGCGGTTATTGTGGTCGTTGATATTGAAGGAGGCGTCGATCAAGAGGATGGAATTTGGGGCGGTGTCATGTGCGTTCTCTGGCGTGCGCTCATGTTCCTTCTTCGCTCCTCTGGTCCAAAGGCGTCGTGGCGATGAGACTGATGGTTTGTTTTGATGATGAATCCCTACTGGCAGACCGAGACATTGAGGGTCGAAGACCGAAGACGAGGGGGGGGGGCGTAGGTATCTCGTCAAGTTGTGTGGAGGAGGATGGAGGACTCAGGAATCTGCCCGTGAGTGGGAGTGGTGGTTCCAAGGTGGGCAGATTGAGATGGAAGGAACTCTCACAATTGCTTCCTTCCAAGTCCAGTCAGGGCACTTTCTGTCCCATCCAAGCACCCAAGGCAGGTGCAGACAAGGCAGGATGGTACGCACGAGTACCTGCATCAACGCATCTGCACATCTGCAGCTTCACCTGCCGTTGGTGGCACAGGCAGGCACAGGCACGCCCATGTTCTGCCGTCTGGTGGAAGAGCAGGAGTAGGTACGTATCCCTCGCTACTCGAGCTGACTAAGGAAAGAGCGGAGGAACTCAAGCAGTATTTACCTACTATGTAAGGGAAGTAGGAAGGAGGTGATCAGGAGGACGAGTGAAGCGTTTGAGGGCGCTTGCTTTTTTGGCTTCAGATCGTGCAGGAACATCTACATAGTACCATTGACGCCAATCATTCATTAACACTTGATGCATTGAACAAGACACTTCCCCTGCCTCGTGTCTGTCAACCAATTGATGCAATGACGGCAATTCATCACCCGCGGCTGCTGAAAAGGCCAGGAGTAGCAGATAAGCCGAGGGGAACATGCCGGCGTGCAGCGTGCCTGGCGTCCGGAGTACCTATGTATTACTGCGTAATGTATTGTCCGTACGTACCGTGTGGTACCTAAGGTACCTTACTTAGTAGGCGCGGGATGAAAAGAAGAGAAAGCAGCGAGAATCGACCCCACTTGCAATTTTGACATTTGAGTCTTCCACCCCTCCATCACTGCCCGGGCTGTTAAGCATAGTACGTACCCCTGGTTCAGCTGACATAAGGCCACAGAATCTGGGCGTGAAGCTGTTAGTGCTCGGCCGCGGCACACCACCACAATTCCGCAACGCAGCCTAACAGACGCCAACACCCCTTCACTTCTCAACGGCTTTCCTTGTGTCTGCTGCCCACCAATGAGTGACCCAGCTTCTGTCCGCGCTACGCTCTGCAGTGTCTGCACACAGTGAGGTAGCGACGTAGCGTGCAGTGTTCTATGGCTAGCCAGGTCCCTTGCATTTCGCATCCGGGGCCAGACCCAAGCCAGACAAGTGCCAGGAACAAAATGCCAGGGGCACGGGGAGTCGGGCGTGCATTTTGCAGCTGGCTGCCAGGAACACGTTCAACCATACTCGGTATGTACAAGTAGGTGAGGTACTGAGCCAGGTCGTGCCAGGGCACTCACTCCAGGTCGGTCCACTGACAACCTCAGGGGGCCTCTTTTGAGTGTCCAGCCGGGGCCAATCCCGCTCCTCCTCTTCCTCTTTTCTCTTAGTGCCGCCATCGTGCCTCTCGAATGAGTCTCATCCCTCTCATCCCGTAGCCCCGTCCCTAGTCGACTCTCCTGTCTGGTGAGCCGATGAGATGACGACTGTTCCAGCGCATTACCTGTTAGGACGGCCATGAGAGTAGTGAGCGGGGGCACTGGGAATTTGTTCTCTTTTCATCCAGTGGACCTGGAGTGAGGATATTTTGAGCCCTAATGTTAGCCTCACCTCACTCCAATACTCACACGTACTTACATCCACTATGTAGTGAGGTAGTGTAATGCTCACACTGTCGATTCACTCTCATCAGTGAGTGACCACTCACACTCACTCATTCCCATTCCCAGGTTCCCACACTCACAGTCCACACTCATAAACCCAATCTCATGATTCATCCCACACCCCTCTCACCCCCCATGCTCCCCCACCCCCTGCCTCGACCATCACCATCCGTCCCGTCGTGCAGCCACAATCCCAGTCCGCCTCTCCCCGTCCACGCCGTTCTCCCTAACCTCGCACACCTCGTCCTGTTCACAACCCTCACACCTCTCTTCCTCCTTCACACAGTAGGTATGCTCACATCGACGAATCTCCTCCTCCTCTCCCCTGTCGCCCTCACACCGTGACACCCACAAACCACCCCCGTTCGTGGCTCGGATTCTCCAATTTCTTGTGCCTGTCACCCTGTCCCTGCACTGCGTCCGCAATTCTTCTTTTCCCTCCTTTGGGCTCCTGGGTCACTCCTTTCTCTCCCGTCACTCGCAATCCAATCCGATCCTCGTCCTCACCCCAAGACAAATCGTCTCCAGTCGTTCACTTTGGCTTCCATCGGCCTTCCTTGCTCCTCGCCTACCTTCATTCTCCCCCCTTCTCTTGCTGCCCTCTACTCTTCCCTCTCCACCGAGCCACGAGCCTAGCTCTGAATCCGATCAGCGTCTCTACTAGTACACTAAACTGAACCCAAGTCACTCGTTGCTTTTCTTTCTCTTCTTCTCCTGGTTTCCCTTTTGTTTGCCTGCCAGGAAGAAAACCCAGGTGACGGAAGGAAAAAAAAAAAAGGTTTCCCAAGAGAGGTTCCCACGTTCCCACCCGAGTCCTTCTTTTCTCGACACACACAACATACCTTACTCTCTCACACACACTCGCTCTCTCTCTCTCTCGTGCGCCTCTTCCTTTCCGCCGTCTTTTCGATTTCGAGTCTTCCAATACGACAATATCGACGCTACTCGCCGCCCTGTCTGGTTGACCTCGCCTAAAAAACCAAATTCGAACGGCATTGCGAGATCCAGTATCTCTGCAACCTTTGGACCACCCGAACAAGATCACTCGACCGGGATTGTCGAATTACCCCCGACGGGATTTCTCCCTTTCTTATCAGCAAACCGCGATTCAGCCATATTCCACCTCGTCTCCCCACGGGATTTATCCACCTCGCTCGCTACTGCCAACACGTTACGACTGGTTCCTACACCTCGTACAGTCACCAGACTAATTTCGACGCATCTCTCGCTGCCGCCAGCCTATTGCGCAGGACACCATTGGAATCTGTGTACGACCCTGGACTTGGAGGAAACAGAAGAGTCTGATCTGGTGTACACAACACACCATTCCTTCCTCTCGACTTGACGCTTTGGATTTTGTCGTCCAAGCACATCTCATCTTCGCCAGCAACTTTCTTTCTCGCTGAGACGCTTGAAGGAAGGAGGATCGACGCTGCTTTGGGTCTCCAGGAGCAAAAAAAAGGTCTACATGCGACGTTGACAGCCTGGACACAAACTCCATCTTGCTGAAACACTCCCGACACAGCGACATCTCTGATCCAGGTACGTTTCTTGCTCGACTTATTTGCTCTCTCCATCTTTCCCATGGCCCGCCGTCCACGTACCCGCCCCGTCTTTGATATTTGTTGCATTTTCTCCCAGAAACCCCAGCAGACGCTTTCATCCCAAGGTCCCAGCTGCGACGAGGCTCAAGCACAGCTTTAAGCGTCTCCGACGCCTTACTGAACTCAATTGCTGCTTGGCCGCCCCCAAAGGCTGAAGAAGCCGTCTAGAGCTGAGACCGGAACGTGGTCGTGTGTCCAAGGGTTCCTGTCAAATCTTTGCTGACGATTCTGCTATTTGTGTCTAGCCATCCCGCATCTCGACTTCAGACGCACTCTTGGCCAATCGTCCCGAGCGAACATTGCCCGTTTCAAACAAACTTTCGCTCTTCGTCCCAACTTCTCGATCTACCATCCCAACCACCATTAATGGACGCCGCTTAATGAAGAGCACCGACGCTTAAGCTTGATAAAATCGCTTTGAGAAGGGAAAAAAAAAGGAACTGCTCGTCGACCCTACGCACACAGCTTCTCTGCCGACGAGGCAGAACACGATAATACACAATGAACAGATTTCGCACCAAGAAGAGGGCGAAGGATGATGCCGCCTCTTCTACGCCTCGGGCCTCCCACGAATCAGAGTCTCCCGCACCATTCCGTTTATTTGGCAAGGGAAAGAAATCACAAGAAGAAGAGCCTAAGAAGGAACTGGATCTCGAGAATGCCTTGCCCCACAGCGATGACTTCCGCACGAGTCTTCTCATGACTGGGCTTTCTGCACGGTTCTCTATGCTGAGAGAACAAGACGACCCGAACACGAAAATCGGCAAGGCCAGCGACGACAGCGTTCTGTTTCCGAAGCGCCAGTCGAGGATGTTAGACTTTGGCTTTGGGCCTGGTCCCAACGGACTGTCGGACATCGCCGAGGTCGAGTCAATCAGAAAAGAAGTGCCATTTAACCGGATGGATTCTTACCACTCTGCTGATGGTAACTCCATCTCGGGAAGTGTCATGGACCGAGCCAAGCCGGGAGAAGGCAACAACCTTTTTGGTGGACGCCAAAAAGTGTACAAGCTTGGTTCTGGTGCTGTTTCCACCAAGAACCTCGACGGCGGTGGCATGAGTGGACGCGTTCTCTATGATGACGATGTTGCAAAGTCAGCCTTCCAGAAATGGAGGCAGACGGAGAAGTCTAAGCAACCATTTGACGACGAACAGGACCAGAAGCCCTCGAGTATCGATCTCCCTCGCGCGGAATCACCTCCACCGCTGGGCTACGACCGCAAGAGAGAAACCAACTCAACCACATCATCAACACCGTCACTAGGCCGCAATTCCACGGCCGCCACCTCTGTCATGTCCCAACCAACGTCAGCAGCAAAGGATTGGCAGTCGAACCCGACGGCACCAAGTTCGGCATCAGGCACGCCCAACCTTGACCGGAGCGTTACCCGAGCACGACGTCTTTACGAGACAGGACTCAACCATGATCTCCAGGAGCAACAATCTTCGGCTCTATCGCGAATGGACACCCTTTCTCGGCAGCGAACTCTAGGCAGCAGGACCCCCGACCTCCAAAACGGACCTTCACCCACAAGCAGCCTCTTCAGCGATCGTTTTGGCAATGAGAGGAGGATCTTGGCCAAGGGAAGCGCTCCGAACCTGCGATCCGCCAGTCCCCCGACCATGGGATCGCCAATTGTCCCCATGGATTTGGGCATCAACGTGCCCACAAACTCCGAACCCAAGTCTTCCTTTGGAGGTGCACCTCCTTTGAGCCCGCCCATCAGCGAAGGAGAGGAGAGTTCTGTTCTCCCCAGTGACCGGGGCAAGGCCACTGCTATGGGGCTGTTCCAAAAGCCTCTTCACTCCTACGACGAGTCTAGATATGCTCAAAGGCAGCTCCAACTCCAGCAAGGCCGAGAGACGCCGACCAACAGGTTCCGCACAGAGTCTAACGCATCACAAACTACCGGCCGATCCCGTTCATCCTCGTCGGCTCAGAGGCTGCCGGTTGAGAAACCCGAACAGATAATTCGTACAGAGCCGACAGTAAAGGAAGAGGAAGCTGGGCTGAGCTTTTACGACGATTCACTTTCTCCCCAGGATGACGCCACAAACCCAGCCGCTGCGTTCCATGGCGCCACAAGACGCCCTGCTGATCGCGACCATCCCGCACTCAGGGACTTTGCCGTGCCAACACCGCTCTCATTGAGCACCGGCGCGTCGATTGAGCCGTCGCCCGTGTCCGATCAACCTTTCACTGCCGTATCCGCCGAGACGACCAGCTCGCCTCAAGACTCTCCGACGCTCCCCTCGTCCGCCGGCCTCAGCGGAATGGTCCGCCAGCACCTGCGAACCGACAGCGCTACTTCATCCATCTATGGCTCAGCGCCGCAGACGTCCAACTTTGCTTCTAGGTTTCCTCTTGATCCATATGATCCCAAGTCTATGGCGGATATGGGAGTGATGGCCAACCCCTGGGAAGTGCAGTCGCCAGACTGGGCAAACCCGACGTTCAACGATCAGAAGGAACCGGCAGTTCCTGAGCCCACCTCGCAGCCTCATCAAACGCTCCCATCAGAGAACCAGCCAACCTCGGAGCGCAACACAGGGTCAAGCACCGAGATGGAGAAGGAACACGACGAGTTTGCCAACCAACTCGCTGACCGCGCGCGCCGAGTTCGTGAGAGACTGACTTCCTACGTGGAGTCAGATCGTGACAGCAGGTCCCTCTCACCTCACCCCGTCGATCGTACAAGAGAGCCATCGTTGCCCCGTCCGAACCCACTGGGCATCTTGAGACAAAAGACGAGCCGTGGTTCTTTAATTGATCGCAACCGCGAGAACCGCGTCGATAGCCAGCACTCAAAGGCCATCAAGATGCTTGGCCTTGCGACGTCAACCATCAGCAGTGCTCCTAGCCCAAACAAGTCAAGCTTCGAGGAGAAGGAACCCCAGTCGCCTGTCCAGGAAGAGCGCGAGAAGCCAGCGTTCCCCAGAGCTGAGACAGCGCCAGTCCTTCCCACGCACGAGCCGGAGAAGGACAAGGAGGACGACTCCATGCACGCTGGACTCCAGGCATTCAGACAAGCTAGGCGACGGCTGATGGAGGCTCAGAAGAGCCCGTCAAGTGTCCCTATCAATCCTGGTCAAATGCCTGGCTCCGCATCGGTTCCGATAGTTGGCCCGCCTGCGTCTAGAACCGCACCTAGTCGCGAGCGCACCCCCGGTCCGCGATCGCCATCTCGCGAGCGCCGGCCGCCTCCTGTCACCTACCAGCAGCGGGCACCCAGTGAGGAGCCGCAACCTAACAACGGCTCTGGCCGCGCGCCCTCCCGCCCTCCTTCTCGGACTGAACGGACTGAGCGTGACCGCAGCGGCTCTGAAGCTAGCAGCGGAGACCGGCCTCATCGCCCAGCACGCTTGCGTACCGGCACCATCTCATCGCCCCACGAAGAGCAGCGCGGCATGGTACCTCCTCCGGCAAGACCTCAAATGCTGAACTCGCCAGGCCTCCCGGGCACCAACATTCGTCGGTCTCCGATTATGCCTCCTCAGCCGTACCCAGCCGGAGCGGGTCAAGGAAAGTCTCTCGATCGGTCTGCATCCCAGGGCAACCTGGCAGTCCAGTACCGCCGACGGGGGCCTGAATCCGGCCAGCCTTCGCCCATTTCCCCAATGGCTCCCATCCCGTCGCCGTCCATTCCCGTCAGCCAGTCTTCACCGGCTTTTGTCCCCTCCCGCCGACCTTCCGCACCTCCTGTGCCGTCGCCCAACATGGAGGCTGCACCTGCCAACCGCCTCGACGAGTCGATGAAGAGAGTGGTCAGGAAGAAGGATATTTCTGAGCCAACCTTTGTCTCTTCAACCTCTCGCGTCCCAACTGTAGCTCTTCCTGAGACCTCAGAGTCCCGGTCCAGAAGCGGTTCTCGTTCGCGATCTGGCAGCATCCTCGGTGCTGCCGCCTCGACGCCAAATCTTCACGGCAGCGTGCACGCCAATATCAACGCTCCGCCTCTGCCTCCGATCAACCCGAAGCGTCGCAACATGATCGGTTCGATGATGGGCCGCCGAGGAGATGAAGACATGGGCGCAAGTTCCCCTCACCTGCCCTTCTCTCCTCCACCGATTCCCAGTGAGCACGGTGGCGACAGCCACAGCGCGTTCTCTGTGAGCGACGAAGAGGACGGCCCTGGTTCCCAGCGGCGCCGCCTCCGAAAGACCATCAGCGAAGCCAATGGCATGAACATGCGTGCCCGACTGACCCGGGGCAACAGCCCTCCCAATATGCCTGCGCCTATGGCTATGACAGGGGGCTTGAACAACGGAAACATGCCCGGCGGCATGATTTAAACACTCGCAACACAATCGCCACGAATCTCTTCATCATCTCTAATCATCTCTCAGTATCATTAAAATGGATGGCGGGGTTTAAAAAAAGAGAGAAAATGGACGTCACGAATCTATGAGAACGTTTTTGTATTCTTGCCATTGATTTCGCTTTATTTCAATTACCCCCAAATGTCGAACTCTACGACTACTGGGTTCCTATTGTATATTTCTTATTTCTCTTCATTCTTTCCTCTCTGGCGGAGGCACTTAGGTGCTCAGCTTTTTCCACGTTAGGCTCTCGGAGGGAGCATTAATAGGGCGGGGTCCTCGTTTTTGGGATGAGTTTGTCTGCGTTTTGGTGGCGGGCCTGGCGTCTACCATCTGGAGGACTGCAAGATCAGGTGGAAGGGCTAGTTCACAGTCATTTCGAGTCTGAAGAATACCGGAACGTTTCAAGGCTGTGGCTAGGGTGGGTTGGGTGGTAGTGCAAAGTTCGGAGTCTGATATACCATAGTAAGAGAATTGGGAGCAATCAAATTCATCAACATCAGCATCTGACAAGAAGTCCAAGTGATACGCACCGTGAGAATTGGCTGAGCCTTACAGCCAAGTGCAATTCGGACTTGCGATTATTGATTCTTCTGCGAGAAGTACAGCGTGATGTTCGGCGGAAATGCCGGGTTCATCCTCCGCCAGGTGGCCGGTGCTCGGGGGCTTGCTCCGGGCAATACGCCGGCTCCGCCAACACATGCCGATCAACTTCAGATGAACGCCTTGATATAGCCTCATCTGCACTGCAATGAATACAATCGAGCGGCATATGAACGGCTCAAAGTTTGATCAGAATCTCGACTAGGGGTAGAAAGCAGACCATGAAGATGCTCGTTGCTATGCGTGTGCTATTCACGCCGTGCCTTTTGCTCACACCAGCATGGGCGATTTGGAACCCCATCATCTCGGGCTTCAACCCTGATCCTGCAATTCTTCGGGTGAGGGATGATTATTATATTGCCACGTCGTCGTTCGAGTACTGGCCTGGGATGCCGATATACCACAGTAAGATCAACGATACCCATCCGTGCCTTTGGAGTGCTATATGTGCCATGTTGACAACGGTATGAATAGGCAAGGATCTGTCGAATTGGACGCTTGTTTCGCACGCCTTGACGAGGCCGGAGCAGCTGCAACTCTACGGCGCCCCAACCGGAGCTGGTACCACGCCCTCAAATCCTCCCCGCGAGCCCGCGTAGTAGGTGAATCGCCATCGGGAATCATCTCACTAACATCCCATCGCAGGCGCCTGGGCACCAAGCCTAGCCCACTTCCACAACAAATTCTGGCTCTCGGGCATGACGCGCTGGACCTACGACCCCGTGGCCCGCGTCTGGCCGCGGGTGTGGTTCATCTCCTCCCCGGACCTCGTAACCTGGTCTGACCCCATCTGGGCGGAGCCATGGGGCATCGACCCAGAGCTCTTCTATGATTCGTCGACGGCGAGGACGTATTTGAACCTGATGGCGCCGAACAATAATCAAGAGAGGCTTTGGGGGATTGCGCAGTGCGAGGTCGAGCTTTCGAGCGGAGCGTGCGTTGGAGAGTACAAGAGTCTTTGGAATGGGACGTTGGAGAGGAATGCGACGGCTAGGCCTGAGGGGCCAAAGATGTTTTCAAGGGGTGGGTGGTATTATTTGGTCATTGCTGAGGGTGAGTCTGTGATGGTTTTGTGATGCTGCTTTGCGTGTGATTGTGTGTGAGAGTGGAACTGACGTAAAGGGTAGGCGGCACTGATGAGTTGCATCGTACCTCGATTGCTCGGAGTAAGTCGCCCTCTGGACCGTTTGAGGCTTGTCCGCATAATCCCCTCATGTATAACGGACAATGGGGGGCCAAGAACTTGACCGTGCAGTCGACGGGGCATGCAACGTTTGTAGAGACTGCTGATGGGGAGTGGTATGCTTCCTTCATTGCGAGGCGGAATGTGAATGGCAGCTCGCCACTCGGTATGTGTTATTGACAGTTGTCTTCTGATGGACCAGCAGACGGGAGTGTTAATTTGACGGGTATAGGCCGTGAGACCTTTCTGGCGCAAGTGACATGGGAAAACGACTGGCCCGGCATCAACAACGGGAAGCCCATTATTCTCAGCGAAGAGATTGGGCCCAAGATAGGAATCAAAAAGACGCCAGCCCCTTGGGTAGACGACTTCTCCGGAAGGGAGCTTGATCCCTCGTGGTACCAGCTCCGAACGCCGTACGTCAAGTCGTATGATGTTGATAACGGGCATTTAGTCTTCAAGCCTAACGTCTTTGGCTTGAGTGATCGGGATCATCCCGCGGCGGTGCTGCGGAAACAGACGTCGTTGAACATGACGTTTTCTGCGGAGCTGCTTGGGTTTGAGGGCGTGTTGGGGCAGAGGATGAGAGTTGGGGTGTCGAGTTACTTGAGTGAGTTCCAGCACCAGGATATCGGTGTCAAGGGGTGCGATGGTGGGATTGGGGGTATGTGTTTGTATACCGAGGTTAGGAGGAATGGCACTGTGGATGTGAGTTCTTTCCACTCCTTGGGCTTCTCTTTTCTGGCTCTCAATTCTATGAAGTTCAACGATGACGGTTTGCTGACTGGATGTGAATGATAGTACTGGCAAAGACCCTTCAACTCATCGTCTCTGCTCAAGAGCGGGCTGAGACTTGATATCCGGGCTGAACCGTTGACATACCACCTGGGCTATAGCATCGGCGATGGCGAGCCGACGTACGTCGCAGAGATTGATTCGAGGTGGCAGGCTTTCGCGCCAACGGGGTATTACGTGTTCACTGGAGCATCTTTTGCGTTGTTTGCGACTGGTGAAGGTGAGCCGTGGCCTTTTGATGGGCCGAAAGTTGGGTTCACGCGAGTCGAGGAGAGGTATCACGAGGAAGACATTGGAGACTATGACCGTTGGTGAGATTTCTAGGCTGACTCAAAGTGATATGATCTTCGGATTCAATTCATGTTCAATTTGCAGTCACTCTCTACGAATTATATAGACATTGAGTGACTTTGGCTTTGGCAAATTGTAAGTGCGCACATCCCATTCCTCATCTGGGGCAGCGAGCTCTAGGCGGAACCGTCTCAGCAGCGCAGCCATGACTTTGCAAATTTCCATGACGGCGATATGGCGTCCTAGACATATGCGCGCGCCATGAGAGAACTTCGTCGTAGTCAGCATCGATCTCAAGAAGCAATGACATGGCGCGGGGCGACTTACATGCAAACAGCCATTCTCCATGTCAAACGCTTTTTCGGGCGAACACTCGAGCCAACGCTCCGGCCGAAACGCATCCGAGTCTTCCCCAAAGAGCTTCTTATCTCTTGCAACGACGAAAGGCGAGACGCTCACTCTGGTACCGCCCGGGAAGAAGCGGCCGCAGATGTAAGCTCCGCCTCGCGGTACATGGCGAGGGAGGGTGGTGGTGACGGGCGGGTGAATGCGAAGGGCCTCTTTGATGCAGGCCGCGAGGTACGGCATGGCCTGGTGGTTTGTTTCGCTGTACCTTGGCGGGTCCGAAAGTTTCCCTTTCAACGCAGCCTCGTCGATTTCGGCCTGTAACTTCTTGTAGGCCTTCGGGTTCTTGAGGAGGTGGTAGATGAAGGAGTCCATGGCAATTCCGGTGGTGTCTGAGCCCCCGGATAAGTTGACCACGGCATGCTGGAAGATTTCGCTATGCGGAAATTCATTAGGCCCGATCTTCTTCTGAGACTGGATGATCTTGTCCATGATGTCGGAGTGCACTGCATCCGGGTCCGCTTCACGCCTGTCCATCTCCTGCTTGGTGACATCCGAGATGACCAGCGCCGGAGGACTAAGGAAGGCGGCTACCAGCGGGTTTCCGAAGAGAAACTTGTGCAGCTCTGGCATCATGGCTACCGTGGATGCGTACTGGATGAAGCTATCAAGCACCTTCGTCATGTTACCCACGTCAGACTTGGTGTCGAGAAACCCGAGGCGTCGCGAGAAGCTCAGCTCCCCAACTACGTCAAAGGCGTACCACTGGAACCACTCCACCATGTTGATCGGGTCTTTGCGCTGCGACGGCGGAACTGAAGGGGCTATGGCAAGCTCATCCATGCACTGGATGAAGAGCGTCACGGTTGAGTCAACAAACTCTTCCAAGGCCATGAGGGCAGACATTGAAAATGCGGGTGCGACATTGCGCTTCATGCGCTTGTGTTCGACTGGATCGATGACGGAGAAGAGGTTGGCATCATCTGGTGTTGGGAAACCAAACATGTAGTACCAGTCTGTCTTTTTCGTGTTAGTGGTATTTCAACCACGCAATGTCTTTGAAGGATGCGGGCTCACCTTGACGAATCTTTGTTCATTATCAAAGATGATGGGGATAGCTTCCGGGTCTGCGATGGAGACTTCGTTATAGGCGATGCGGACGATGGGGCCTAGATCTTTCAGCTTCAACGATGATGGCACTCTCAAGTTGATCTATAGACTGACCGAGCTTCCTATGCGCTTCTAGCAAGTTCCTCTCAGCACGAGTCGACAGCACTTGGAGAACCTTGTTCCAGCGGCTCACCGTTGCTAAGAAGTTGACTGCAGGGATATCTCTGAGGCTAGGAACATAACGGCGATAGAGAGCGCGAAGGACAAAGATGGCCAGGCAGGCTGCGAACCAGTGGCTCGAAAGCACCTGGAGCAGGCTTGGAAATGACATTACGCTGTTTTCGTATTCGTGAAGCGCTGCCAAATTGTTGTTGGTTGTCGACTATGGATGAATTGAGACATCATGATATAGAGACTCCATGATTCGCTCGGTATCGGTAGCGGACTATTCCGTAGTCCTCTAGAGCTGTGTAGTTTCACAGTCACGCGTGCTAGGGGGAAATAGGATAGATCCATGGGAAGGCACTTTTGATGCTGTAGTACTGATGACCCTGCATATCCCACGTAGAGCTGTTGCATTGTATATATATCTCAAAAGCCTATATTTGGACCGATGTAACTCCCCGACTCGGACGCGCTCCACAAG